TACTTATACACCAACTCATTCCCCAATTTTTATCCCTATATCTAAACAAATGAGTTGTGAGAAGAGCTGGTGTTTATAGTAAAAGTATTTTCCTATTAGTCTAACTGTATTTTTCTTCTCAATATTCAAAGAGGTCCCAATTCGAATATGATCTGACGTTGATAAGAAAAAAGTATTATTCTATAAATAAATGATATTAGACCAAATATAAATAAATGTTTCCACATTTCTTAGATTAAAAAAGTTGGGAAATGAATTGATTTCAAAAATTATTCAACCAAATAGTAGTTGGAAGCATGCAGTTCTGTTGCACCTGATTTTGTTTCAATTAGGTATGTGGTCAGCTTTCTTTAGACTTTTGAACTTATGAAATCCCATGTTCCAATTCACTTTGGGCTTGATTCCACTAGGAAATGTAATACCAAATACCATATCAAAACCCTCAATTAAAAAGTTTAAAATAATCTTTCTAAATTGTATGGCAAAATAAACAATTTATCTTTTTAGATTGTGAATTCCATACATAAATTTGACTCTTTCATAAGTGTCCAAATATTATACCAAAACAATTTCTCCATGATCAATGATGCAGTTTGTGGCTGGAATAGAGGTATTTCAAATTGTAATGACTCGATGTGCTAATGTTGTTTCTTTTTTGTTTTTCCCTTTTTTTTGTCACTGTAGTTTTCTTTTCTCATGGATGCGTGTACATTGGTAAGGACTTTCTCCCCAAAAGCTTCTTTTATTTCTTTTTCTTTTCCCTTTTTTTCTTGTCAATTACATCACGACAATTGTGAGATACTAATGAACTTGTGATAATAAAAAAAGGTCAATTCAAACTCAGTCAAGTCTTTGTTTTCACTTACATTTGTTGTTGTATTTCTTGCAGATAATCCTCTATGGTTTCGGGCCATAAACTTCAGTAAGATCTTGTATTTCTTGCATATAATCAATTCTTTGATTTTGTTAACTTTTCGAAAACCTGTAGTCAAGTCTTTGATGTTGTCCCCACTTTTGCTATGTTTCTTGCAGGACGTGGATGGGTGCCACTCATCTGCTTCGGTAAGGGCTTGTATATCTGAATACATATTTCTGAAACAAAACAAGAAGAAAAATGTTGAAAGCATTAGTTGATCTAACCAATAAAGTTGTTTTCTCATGATTCTTTTTGGTGATATATCTCTTGTGTGCAGGTTTATTTTTTCCAGCAAGACTAATTTTTGGAGTTCCATGTCTGATTGCATTGGTGATCTATAAATGGCGAAGAAGACATTTGTCGAGTTATAGCATCATAGAAGATTTTCTACAAAGTGATAGCAACTTCTTGCCAATAAGGTACTCTTACTCAGAAATTAAAAAGATGACTGGTAAATTTAAGGACAAGTTAGGCGAAGGCGGCTATGGCTCTGTATTCAAAGGAAAGTTGCGCAGTGGCCGTTTTGTAGCAATTAAACTCTTGGGCAAGCCCAAAGGTGATGGGCAAGACTTCACAAGTGAGGTAGCTACCATTGGAAGGATTCACCATGTTAATGTGGTGCAACTTGTTGGTTATTGTGTTGAGGGATTAAATCGTGCTCTAGTATATGACTTCATGCCAAATAGCTCTCTTGATAAATTTATTTATTCCAAAGAGGAAAGCATTCCCTTAAGTTGCAAGAAAATGTACGAGATTTCTCTCGGAGTGGCTCGAGGGATTGAATATCTGCATCAAGGTTGTGACATGCAAATTCTACATTTTGATATCAAGCCTCATAACATTCTTCTTGATGAGAACTTTAACCCAAAGATTTCTGACTTCGGGCTTGCGAAATTATATTCCGTAGATAATAGCATTGTCACTTTGACAGCAGCAAGGGGAACATTGGGCTATATTGCTCCTGAGTTGTTCTACAAAAATATTGGAGGTGTTTCGTACAAAGCTGATGTCTATAGTTTCGGAATGTTGCTCATGCAAATGGCAAGCCGAAGGAAGAATTTCAGTTCAATGGTAGAGCATTCAAGCCAAACTTACTTCCCGTTATGGGTGTACGACCAATATAACAAGGGAAATGACTTGGAGATGGCAGATTTTAATGAGGAGGAAAAGAAAATCATAAAAAAGATGGTTATAACTGCATTGTGGTGTATTCAAATGAAGCCAAGTGATCGGCCTTCCATGAACAAAGTCATAGAAATGCTCGGAGGAGATGTTGAATGCCTAAAAATGCCTATCAGACCTTTTCTGTATCCACAGGAGATGCATGTAGGTGATGTTCAAGAAAGTTTGAACTCAATAGGTTCAAACGGGGAGTTAACATGGACTTTGTCAGCTAGGTGATCATCAAATTGTTAGAAAATGCAGTCATTTATTTTTTATTTTTTATTTTGAGGACCTTTCCTATTGAGAGGGGCGATAATATACTAAACTCACACACACACACTACACTGATGCTAGAACTCGAACCCAGGAAGGGCCTAGGGGAGCAATTGTTCCAAACCACTACACTAGTGGGTCCTTTGCATGGAATCATTTATTGTTAAACTCTAGCTTCCTACTATTACATGGAAAATATTAAACAAAATACATCTTTTTTTCTTTTTCTTTGAGGAAAAACTAACTCACTATAAAAGTTAATGATGCAGCGTGACAATTGATTGGCTGAAACCTTAGTCTAAAACATGTAACTCTAGAATCCACTAGGAAATATGAGAGAACCTCAGGTTTATTTGATAAACTGGAAATAAAAACATAACCCTACCCACGGGTAAAGTATGTTTAAATACTCCTAGAAACTAAAGGAATTAAAACAGGAAAATAACAAAGTTTCCAAAAACTGTAAAAACTTTAGAACTGAATTTCAGGCTAGTAAACGATCGCAGATGCTCGACAAATCCCATACATCATGGCAAAGTGATGAGTTTTACTCATGTGCCGTTCTCTTCGCATCGACAGGTCATGGGCCTAATTCTCAGCTTGGAGCCCAAATCTGCAGCTTACCTGATTTGACTTTGCTCGCGTGTCGCTCTAGCTCTTCTTCAATTGCTTCCGTCATCTGTTCTACATCAATATTGATGTAGCGTAACAATTGATCGGCTAAAACCTTAGCCTAAAACATGTAACTTTGGAATCCACCAGGAAATATGAGAGAACCTCAGGTTTATTTGATAAACTGGAAATAAAAACATAACCCTAACCATGGATAAAGTATGTTTAAATACTCCTAGAAACCCTAGGAATAACAAAGGAATTAAAATAGGAAAATTACAAAGTTTCCAAAAACTGTAAACACTTTAAAACTGAAATTCGGGCTAGTAAACGATTGAATAGCACTATTGTAAGTGAACTCCACCTGTGGCAATGGAATATCCCATTACTTCGGCCTGTCTCCGCAAATGCTCCCAACCATGTTTCCGAGGGTTCTGTTGGTAACCTCATTCTGACCATATGTCTACGGATGAGTAGTGCTACTACGATTCAAGTCCGTACTAAACATCCTCCACAAGGTTATCCAAAAGTGGCTAAGGAATTTGGTGTCACATTTTGATTTAATACATTTAGGAACACCATGCAACCGCACAACCTCCCTGAAAAACATTTTGGCTATGTTGGCAGTGTCCGTAGTCTTCTTGCAAGCAATAAAATGCTCCATCTTGGAAAACTTGTCAACTACAACAAAAACAGAATCGACTCCTGATTGTGTATGAGGGAGTCCCATAACAAAATCCATGGACAAGTCTTACCAAATATCATTAGGAACAGGGAGAGGCATATAAAGACCAATATTTTGGGACTGTCCTTTAGATACCTGACAACTATAGCACTTACGCTCCGCCATACTTGCAATGGTTTTATCACGGCCCAGATGGCCACTCAGTCCACCCCCATGCAAATCCCAAATCAGTGCCTCCCTTATCCAGTTCAGTCGACCACTCTTTGGCCAACCACCGCCCACATCCGACCACCCCAAGAGTCAGGGCTAGTACCAAAATAGCCAGCGCCACGTCATCTTCCCACCTTACCCCTCCCCGACCGCAACTAGCAGCTCAGGTCGCAGAAAAACTTCCGATGTCGTTTCGGATGATTCCGGCTACCAAATTTGTCGATCCAGGTATGCTTTCTCATCCTTTGAGCGTGATCTAGCTGATGATTGGGTTGGTTATGATTGATTTTGTAGTTTTGAAACTTGTTTTGCAACTCAAAGTTTCAACCGGTTTTCGGCTTGAATTTCCGGCAAACTCCGGCCAGTTTTTTGTTGTGGCCCAAGAACAAAAGTTGCTCCCCTAGTTGTCCTCATCTCGTAGGTCGTATTGTAGGGTGTTTCGAGAATTTTCCGATTGTTGAAATTTTCTCAAGACACCCACTCTCTGCAGGCCGGTGTGGCAGTGCGTGGGCCATGTTTGGGCGACCCATTTGGTTCTAAAATATTCTCCATGTAGTCTCGAGCACGACGGTATGCTCGGATTTGAATTTTGGTTATCGTTTGACGGTCGATCACATTTATCTAATATTAGGCGTTATTCATGTTTGATATGTTCGGATAGTTGGATCGATTCCATTTTCAAATATGTTGATCTAGGCACCTTTAGGATTGTGTAAGGAATTCGCGGATTGAGAATTGGAGTCTCATTTGCTCCGATTCAATTACTTAAAGTTTACATAAAACGGTGACCGTACGATCGTGCGATAGCGAGCAATCCGACCGCTCGATTTGGACCTAACTTGCAGGACATGGTTAGTAAGCCTTGTTGAACCCATAGGAACTTTTAGATCTGAAATTAGAGGACATGGGCCCCGTGGCCTCGGTTGACCAAATTTGGGAAGTTTGACCACTCGGTTGACCGAGCATCTTCCGAGGTTATTCCACCGTTCGAAACACGTAGTTGGACCTTAGGAACTCCTCGATCGTCGTGCACACACTTGAATCCCGAAAAAACTAGGAATTTAAATTAAAATTCTCGTTCGAAGTATTTTATTTTAATCTAACCCTCGTATTCTTAAATAGGTACTTAGGCCTAGCGTACGCAACAGGCGAGACCCTCTCAGGGTCAAGCATCGTGGGATTATCTGTGAGTGGACTTTGTTTTTAAATAATATTCATTATTTTCAAGGATGGAAAAATATGCATAATGAGTTCTTTGATTCTTGAGTTATTATATATATTTAGATATTGAAATATAATATTGCTATGAAAGTATTGGAATTATATGCGAATATTTGCGGATTGTGATACTTGGATATGTGTTGAGTACATGGGGTTGTTGGTAATGAGATTATGGAATAAAAGTGGGTTGTGGTTTATGTCAATTTTGAGTGCTATTAGCACTACCCTATGTACCTTCCCGGTTTTGGAACACTTGGATTGGATACTTTTATGGAATACGTGGATATGTCGGAACCAGGGCACCCTTGACGGGGTATCTCATAGACCCTTAGCAGGGTTAGTCTGAGCATGTAGGACTTGTCACAGGCGCACGAGTATTGAGGATTCTGCTGTGCGTGCTGGTGAGCCCAGTCCCCCAGTTGGACAGCTCGTTCGTCCCTAGCCACATAGTCAATTGAGGATTCTTCCATGTGGTCTAGTCAAACAATCCCTCGGTTGGATTGTTTCCCCGGTACAAGTTTGGTAGTAGTCATACTTATATTTATATATAAGTACATATACCTTCGTTCTTGTTTATCGGTGAGGATACTTCCTCGCTCGCAGTGCCAATGGGCACACGTTTAGATGAAAGTGGTTTAAGAAAAAAGGGAAGAGGGTTGAGTGAGTTTGAGTATTAGTAAACTATTACTAGATACGGATTTCAACTTAGTTTTAATTGATTATATACGAGTATATTGAGTTTCAATTGCATGCTTTCTGCACCGTTTTCCAAACGGTGGGGTTATTATATGTTGTTTTCAAATATAACAAAACTTTGTTTTTGTCCACTCACAATTTTCTGTTTTGCGCCCAGACAATAGTTGATCTGAGCTGAGCAGCAGAGCCAAGCCCTGAACTTCCAAGCCCCGAGCTTATGTAGGACAAACTGTTGTTCGTTTCTTTTCTGTTGAACTTTATTTCTGCTTGTAAACTGAATTTCATTAGATATGCTCTGTTATCGCCCATGTTAGGGTTGAATGTAAGGCCGGAGGCCTATCATGTAAATTGTGTGCTATTTCATTGTGTCTGCTGCTGTTGGGATGATTTTAATTGTGTTTTGACAAGTTAAAATATTTGGGAAAGTCCGTTTTTCAGGGGAGACTGTCGAAATTTCGGCAAAAAGTCTCATCCCTGTTTTCCTTTGATTTGGAAAAGAGACTATGGTTAGTAAGTGGGCCTGACATCAGTTTGATGTCGGATAATCTACAGGATTCGTCATGAATTGCAAGGAATTCAAGGCGAGTCCTGTCATAAATACCCATCATTAACATGATAATCTGTCATCGGCTCATTGCGCACAAGCTTAGCCTAAATTTCCTGAAAATCCTCATCAGTCTCATACAGTTCCTTTAGAAATTTGAAACCCACAACTTCTTGAACCAAAGTAACAAGCAAAGTTACTCAATGATTCAGTGCATTTGCTACACGGTTAAGAACTCCAAATTTATGTTTAATAACCAATGGAAATTTCTGCAGAAAAGTAGCCCACCTGACATGCATCTTGTTCACACTCTTCTGGCTGTTGATAAATTTCAGGGCTTGGTAGTCAATGTAAAGCACAAACTCCCACTACACCAGATAATGTTCCCACTGTTTCAAGGCTTGAACCATTGCATAAAACTCCTGGTCATAAGTGCTCCATTTTTGGCGTGCTTTACTGAGTTTTTCTCAGAAAAATGCAACCGCTCTCTTCTCTTGAGGCAAAACAGCTCCTGCACCCACTTCACTTGCATCACATTCGACCCCGAATATCTTCTCAAAGTTAGGAAGGGCTAGAACCGGTGCTGTGCTTAACTTTTCTTTAATAAGGGCAAAGCTTTGGTCTTGCACTTCACGCCAATTAAATTTTCCACGCTTCAGGCACTCAGTAATTGGTGCGGTAAGGGTTTTGAAGTGGCGAACAAAGCGCCTGTAAAAGGTTCCAAGGCTATGGAAACTCCTCACATCACTAGCTATTTTCGGGGTAGGCCACTCCCGAATGGCTCGCATCTTATTTTTCATCCACGTGGATACCATATGCACTAACAACATAACGCAGAAAAAGTAACTTGTGCATGACAAAAGTACACTTTTTCAAGTTAATAAACAGCTTGTTCTCTTGCAGAACCTTCAAAACTTCCTTCAAATGTATCAGATGCTCCTTCTTGGTTTTGCTGTAAATCATAATGTCATCAAAAAATAAACTACAACAAATGAACCAATAAAGGGATGCAAGACCTGAACTGGTGCAGGTCCTTCCGGCCTGACTGGGACCTCATGTTCTTGGGCGAGAAGGGGTCCGCCCCTCTGTCCAGCTTGGATTTCTTCGGGTCCCGGTACTCCAGCTATCTGTGCAATAAGAGGATTCTCTTGATATGGCCATGCCAGTCCTGGTGGAGGACCGTAGGGAAGGTCCAACTGCTGAACTATGGCGTCAGGA